CGCTTTCACCACTTCTTTTCAACATCGTATTGGAAGTCCTAGCCACAGAGGTCAGACAAGAAAAAGAAATAAAAGGCACCCAAACAGGAAAGGAGGAAGTAAAGCTATCATTTTTTTCAGATCACATGACAGTGTACATAGTGAACCCTGTAGACTCTACCAGAAAACTCCTCAACCTAATAAATGAATTTGGCAAAAGAGCAGGATACAAAGTCAACATTCCGAAATCAAAGGCATTTTTGTACACCAGCAATTAAGTAGCGGAAGTACAAATTAGAAAAAAAATACCATTCAATATAGCAGGAAGAGAAATAAAGTACCTGGGAATAAATTTAACCAAAGAGGTAAAAGACATGTATGCAGAAAACTACACAACATTGAAGAAAGAAATTAAGGAAGACACAAAAATGGAAGCCTATACCGTGCTCATGGATTGGAAGAATTAATATCATCAAAATGTCCATACTACCCAAAGCAATTTATAGATTCAATGCAATCTCTATTAAGATACCAATGACGTATTTCACAGAAATAGAACAGGCATTTCAAAAATTTATATGGAACCATAAACGAACCCGAAAAGCCGCAGCAATTTTGAGAAAGAAAAACAAAGTAGGAGGGATCACAATACCGGACATCAAACTATACTACAAAGCCACTATACTCAAAACAATCTGGTACTGGCACAAGAACAGATCCATAGACCAGTGGAACAGATTAGAAAGCCCAGAAATAAGCCCAGGTCTCTATGGGCATCTAATATTTGACAAAGGGGGCAGAAGCATAAAATGGAGCAAGTATAGCCTCTTCAACAAATGGTGTTGGGAGAGCTGGACGGCTCCATGCAAAAAATTGAAATTGGATCATCAGCTGACACCATTCACAAAAATAAACTCAAGATGGAGAAAAGACTTAAATAGAAGTCGCAACACCATAAAAGTCCTAAAGGAGGACATTGGCAGGAAAGTCTCAGATATCCCACGCAGCAATTTTTACACTGATATGTCTCCTAAAGCAAAGGACGTAAAGGAAAGAATTAATAAGTGGTACCTCATCAAAATAAGAAGCTTCTGCACGGCTAAAAAAACATCAACAAAATGAAAAGGGAGCCAACCCTATGGGAAAATATATTCGCTAATGATACATCAGATAAAGATTTGATCTCCATGATATATAAAGAACTTACTCGAGTCCACTGCAAGAAGACAAACAATCCGATCAAAAAATGGTCAAAGGTCCTGGGCAGGGGCTTTTCCAAGGAGGAGATACAGAGGGCCCAGAGACATGTGAAAGGATGCTCAGCATCACTATCCATCAGAGAAATGCAGATCAAAACCACCATGAGGTACCACCTCACATTGGTCAGAATGGACATCGTAAACAGATCCACAGACAACAGGTGCTGGCAAGGCTGTGGAGAAAAGGGAGCCGTAGTCCCCTGTTGGTGGGAATGCAGACTGGTGCAGCCACTGTGGAAAGCAGTGTGGAATTTCCTCAAAAAGCTGAAAATGGAACTGCCTTTTGATCCAGTGATTCCCCTGCTGGGACTATACCCTAAAAATCCCAAAACGCCAATACAAAAGAACCAATGCACCCCAATGTTCATAGCAGCACAATTTACAATAGCCAAGTGATGTAAGCAACCTAAATGCCCATCAGTAGATGATTGGATCAAAAAGTCATGGTACATATACACAATGGAATACTACACAGCAGAAAGGAAAAAAGAACTACTAAACTTTGCAACAGCATGGATGGAACTTGAGAGCATTATCCTAAGCGAAATAAGCCAAGGAGCGAAAGACAAATACCATATGATTTCACCTATAAGCGGAACCTAACCAACAATACAAAGATGCAAGGAAAATAAGACCAGCAAGACTGAAAGGAAAAGAAATATCAGACAAGAGGGAAGGAGGGAGGTGGTGCAGGGAAAAGGAAGGGAAGGGGAAAGTCAAGGAACATATAGCAAGGACTCATGGACAAAACCAAAGGGGAAGAGCTGAGGGAGGGTAGGAGGGAGGGGACAAGGGAAAGTGGTGGGGGGGTAGGCAGAGACAAATGTATTTGAAAAAATAAATTAAAAAAAGATTTTTATCAGAATGTGTTTAAAAAAAGCAGTGTGAAAGCAAGCCTGTAAGAGTCAGGCCTCAAGTCAAAGGTAATTAAAGGGTGGCATCTCTTATAAGTACTCAGTCCCCAGCAACCAGTGGCACAAGTCCTACTCTTGGGTAACCCTTTCAATGTTAGAACCTTCAGGTCTCTGTTCTTCCTCATTAGACTATAAGTTTCATAAAGGCAGGTGTCATATCTCTCTTGCTTACCATTGTATCCCCAGTATCCAGCACCATGCAAGACACATAGTAGGAATTTAATAAGTGTTTGCTGTCTGATAAATAACTGCATGATTAAGTGAATAATTTGTGTCATTTTCAGCAGGTCTTTTCCCCTATCTGGGTCTCAATTTCCTCACTGGTAAAATGAAGAGATGAGACTTTATGAGTTATAAGGGCCCTTCCCACTCTGAATTTGATGGCAGGCTAGTTCTAATCCTTCATCTGGCACTATGACGTCTGTAGGCTAATTTTGGCAAAGATATTTAATCCCTTTAAGTGGAAGGTGTTGCTGAATAAAAAATACTTATTAGGTGTGAAATCTATGAAAAACAAGATTATGTTTTATTTTATGACACAAGCACAACCCTCTAAAGAAAGAGAAAATTACCAAAATAATGGCATTTCAGATGATACAGAGAAGATGCAAGCCTATCAAAATGGTCAGAGTGCTATGAATCACATTCTCAATTTTTATTAAATTTTTTTTCTTTAACTGGCTTGTTCTGTCTCCAGCTAAATTTTTTCTATTAAAAATGTCTAACAAATATATATGTACTGAAAGCACTTTGGGTACCTAGACCTATGCTGGATACCATGAAAATAAAACATATCTGTGCCATGACATAAGATACAGCGTACTTTGAAAACTAGCAGAAGTATAACATAAGAAAAAACAGGGGGTGTGGAGGACAGCAGGGACTCACAAACTTCAAGAAGGTGTCTGGAGTGGGATTTGAGACACGCCCATGGCAATAAATAGAATTTAGATAGATGGGGGAACTGGCTAGAGAATTCCAGTAGAAGAGAATATCTTACACACATAGCTGGAGACAGTGTAGTATATTTGAGTTGGTATGTGGTATGGGTATGTGGTATGTTTAAGTTGGCCCAGAATAACTTTCCCCAAAATCCCAAAATAACTCTGTGAATATTCAACCATTAGAAACTCATTCTTTTTGATAGCCCCTTTAGAAAATGCAAACACACCTGAGCAAGTTAATGTACTGACCTATTAAATACTTGTGCTTTGGAGTCAGACAGCCTGGGTTTCATTCCTAGCTTTGCTACTTCCTAGCAGTGACCTTGGGCAAAATTACTTAACTTCTTTGTCTTAGTTTGTCCAGGCTGCTATAACAAATTATCACAGACTGAGTAGCATACAAGCAACAGAAATCTATTTCTCATAGTTCTAGAGGCTAGAAATTTAAGATCAGGGATACCGTATTGTCATGTTCTGGTAAAAACCCACTTTTTTATTCATAGATGTCACTTTCTTGTTGTGTCCTCACATGGTGGAAGAGGCAAGGGAGCTCTCTAAGGCCTGTTTTATAAGGACACTAATCCCATTCATTAGGGCTCTATTGTCATGACCAAATCACCTCCAAAACACTTCCTTTCTAATACCATCACCTTGGAGGGTTAGGATTTCAACACAGGAATTTGGGGGAGGACACACAAACATTGAAACCACAACATTCTTTGAATCTAAGTTTCTTGTGAGAAATACATGAGATAATAAATGTAAATATTAACAATTAATAGTGATTATCATCAACATCTTCATGCAAACTCTGATTGCTTTCTTCCTAACAGCTAGATGGGACAGAGCAGGCTGAAGGAATGAAACTTTTGACAGGCAGAGCCCCAAGACAAGAAAATAATAATAGCAATGCAAACACTTACATGGTACTTATTCTGTGTCAGGCAATATTCTAAGCACTTTGTATATATTAACTCTTTTTTTAAAATGTTTAATTATTTATTTTAGAGGGAAGGGAAAGGAGGGAGAAAGATGGGTAGAAACATTGATGTGAGAGAGAAACATTGATCAGTTGCCCCTCCTACACACACCTTGACCGGGGACCGAACTCACAACCCAGGCATGTATCCCAACCTGGGAATTGAACCAGCAACATTTCAGTTCATGGGATGACACCCAACCAACTGAGCCACACCAGCCAGGGCTATATATTAACTTTTTTAATCCTTCAACAGCCCAGTGTGGTACTTATTATTATCTTGTTTTACACAGGTGGAATCTAAGGCATATAGAGGTTGAGTAACTTGTCCAAGGTCACACAGGTCGATTACAGCATAGCCAGCTTTAAATGCAGCCAGTTTGGCCCCGAGTCCATACTGTTAACCACCACATTATACTACCTCTCTGTTTCAATAATTGGTGAGGGCTGGAGCCCTCAGAGAAGGTGCTGTTGAGGTAGTGAGAAGGAACAACAAAATTCTGCAAGCAACTGTCATGCTGGACACCACTCAGCTTCAGAAAAATTGGCCTGAGAGAGTAGGTATGTTGGCTTTGAGGAAGTCAGGGAGATTTGGGAGGAAAGCACTGACAAGGTGAAGCAGCATTTCATCAGAATTTGCTGTTCTTTTCTTGCTTTCAAACATCATGAGGCTTCTGTTTGGTCACCAGATAATCCGTGAGGTCCTTTCTAAAGCTGAGAAGCTGTAAAAGTTAAAAACCTGTGAAACATCATTAAAGTAGACATTGATTCATGTTGAGGGCCAAGGGTTGTACTAGGAGACTTGTGAAATAAATCAGAAAGCGTATTCTAAAATAAACAGAACACCATTAAAATAGCAAGAGTTCATAATTACTATGAGTCACCATATGTCAGTACATGATAGTTATCAAAGATAAGAAATTACCTTAAAGAGTGAAGTTTGGCCAAAGAAATTAAACAAGATGGTCTGTAAGTTGCTAAGAGGAATTCTCTCCCTCAGTGATTTAGGCAAATATATGGAAGCCAAAATTCTCTTCAGAGGGATTTCACTTAAGTTAATCTGTCAAGAAAAGCCAGGAAATAAACACTAGATTCATCACCCATGAGCTTGAAGTCCTCTCCGCCTCCCACTCCAGCTTAGCCTCAGCCTTAGAGTATCACATGGAGGACTAAAGGATGAGAACTAGCCCCATAAGCTATGCTATACATTTTACACAGACACACACACACACACACACACACACACACACACGTGTGTACAGTCAGATCACAAGCTAAGACATGACCTGGTACACATAGACATAGACACACACACACACACACACACACACTCTATCTTTTCCTTTCTAAACATATCCTTCAGTTTCTTTCCCTTTGATTTGCTTCCACCTAGGTATTTATAGAGGTAGAAAGAGGTGATTTGCCATGATTCTCAGAAATAAGGGCCAGCCTTCTTCCATATAGTTCTGAAAGGGGAAAAAATAAACCAGAATAACAACAAAAACACCCAATACAATGGCGTTAGGCACTTGCCCCAGAGTTCACTCAGCAATATTTTTGTTAAAAATTGGGGCAGGGACATGAGGCATTAAGCCTTAGGAATTCTTTCAGAGGCTCACTATCAGAAGAATTTTCTAATTTGACTGGTAATAATATTTGATAAGTACTGGAACATTTTTTACAATGAAAGGGGCCTTACCAATAATTATACTAGGACCACAGTTGTAAACCTGGAACCTGCTAGACAATGTATATGGGTATTTTTATGTGTATTCTTTTATTTAATCCTGCTATCATCTCTGAAAAGTATATTGTATTATGCTATCAGGAAATGGGGGGCTCAGAGAAGTTAAGTGACTTGTTTATGGTCACATAGCTGGGATATAGTTGTACAAAGATATGTGTGATTTTGTCCCACATTTTCTCCATTATCCATACTGCCTCTCAAGGAACTGTTATCTGGCTAGGTACATCATGGAGAGATGAAAGTCTATAATATTTCTAAGAATTACTTGTGACCCCAATAGCCATATAGCTCTTCTGGCATGAATGAACTTTGTTATGGCAATCAAGTACCATGCAGAGGTTATAGTTTAGCTTCAACATGTAAGAACTTTGGTACCAATATGTTATGGGGATTAGTTGGCTTGTTTCTCCATCAAGATCTATAATAAAATATTCTGTATGTAACCAAAATGCAATGGAAAGTCAACATCTGCTTCCAGTATGGCTGAATAGCTCCTAATGGACTTGACCTTCTTGTGTATAACAACTATGCAAAATCAACATGACTTAAGGGCACTGGAAAATGAACAAAAGCAGGCAGGTTCTGGAGAATAAGGAAAAGGGTAACATCACAAAGTGAATTAACCGTTTTTATAGCTTTGAGCCTGCTGGCAGGCTGAAACTAATACTGTTAAGGATGCTCAAAATTCTGATAGAAAATATGCAGTCTTCCTTGCATGAATAACCAGAAAACAAAGGTTCAGACAACTACAGCCACTGGAAGGTCAAAGGTAAATTTTAGAGAAAAGAGAGCTAGAAAAGGGGGAGCCAAAATTCTGAATATGAAGTCTTTCTGAGCTCTGAACCATTTATGTATAGGACAGATTCAAAGTAAGGATAACTAAGATTTGAGCTGCCATCTAAGAAATGAAATCTGCAGGTTGATTTCAACCAAATTAATTGGAATATCAAAAATCAATAGTCTTCAGAGGACTATAGTAGAATATAGAGTTTCCACAACATACCACTCACAATATGCAGGACATAAGCTGATATTACTCAATATGTAAAGAAAAAACAAATGCGATTCATTTTCAATGAAAAGGCAATCAGCAAGATGGAGGCATAAGTAGATACACTTTGCCTCCTCGCACTATCAAAAAGAAAACAACAAATTTAAAAACAACAAGTAACTAGAACTGCCAGAAGGCCAAACTGCATGGAAGTCTGACAACCAAGGAGTTAAAGAAGAAACATTCATCTAGACTAGTAGAAGGGATGGAGATGGGAAGGCTGGGGAGGAAAGGACTTGCAGCCAAAAAATGAAGGCTATGCAAAGTGAAATAAAGAAAACTATACAGGGAACCAAAAGTGAAGGGAAGGAAACCAGGACTCAAATCAACGATTAGGAGCAGAAGGAAGAGATAAACATTCAACTAGAACAGAATGAAGAAAGAAAAATTCAAAAAAAAGGTGGAGGCTTAGGGAACTCTGGGACAACTTTAAATGATTGAACATCTGAATCATAGGGGTGCCAGAAGGAAAAGAGGAAGAGCAAGAAATTGAAGACTTATTTGAAAAAATAATGAAGGAGAACTTCCCCAATCTAGCATAGGAAATAGACTTCCAGGAGATCCAGGAAGTTCAGAGAGTCCCAAAAAAGTTGGACCCAAAGAAGTACACACCAAGGCATATCATAATTACATTACCCAAGACTAAAGAGAAGGAGAGAATTTTAAAAGCAGCAAGAGAAAAGAAACAGTTATCTACAAAGGAGTTCCCATAAAACTATCAGCTGATTTCTCAAAAGAAACTTTGCAGGCAAGAAGGGACTGGAAAGAAGTATTCAAAATCATGAAAAGCAAGGACCTACATCCAAGATTACTATACCCAGCAAAGCTATCATTTAGAATGGAAAGGCAGATAAAGTGCTTCCCAGAGAAGGTCAAGTTTAAGGAGTTCATCATCACCAAGCCCTTATTATATGAAATGTTAAAGGAACTTATCTAAGAAAAAGAAGAAGATGGAAAACTATGAACAGTAAAATGACAACAAACACAACTATCAACAACAGAAACTACAAAAAACAAACTAAGCAAACAAATAGAACAGGAACAGAATCATGGAAATGGAGGTCAGAGGGGAGGGGAAGGGGAGTGAATGGGGCAAAAGGTACAGGGAATAAGAAGCATAAATAGTAGATACAAAATAGACAGGGAGGTGTTAAGAATAGTATAGGAAATGGAGAAGCCAAAGAACTTATATGGAGGACCCATGGGCATGAACTAAGGGCAGGGGGAATGCTGGTGGGAGGGTGGTGCAGAGTGGAGGAGAATAAAAGGGAGAAAAAAATGGTACAACTGTAATCACATAATCAATAAAATATATTTCAAGAAGAAAAAAAGAAAAGACAATCAATGGAGATCAACTATGAGATGATTCAGATGTCAGAAATAGCAGACTAATTTTAAAGCAGCTAATATAACTATGCTCAGGTCTTTAAAATAAAATACACTTGCAATTAATGCAAAAGAAGAAGTAATAGCAGAGGAACAGAAGCAAAAAAAACAAAGATGTAAATTCTAGAACTGAAAATACAGTATCAAAAAATTTTAATTGCACTGGAGAGGTTCAGTAGTAACATGAAGATGTCAGAGATCGAAGAACTTGAAGATAGTCCAGTAGAAATTATGCTATCAGAATAATACATAGTAAAATGATTAAAAACATGAACAGAGTCTCTTGGACCTGTGGGGAAGCATCAAAAAAATCTTACATATATGTAGTTTGAGTCCCAAGAGAAAAGGAAAGAAAGAATGGTGAAGAAATTTATACAAGCATTTATTTTTTTTAAGGTGCCAAAGCAAGCCAATGGGAAAGAAAAGTCTTCAATAAATGATGCTGGAATAACTAGATACTCATAGTGAACAAAATGAACTCCAAATCATATACTACACCATACACTAAATTTAATTCAATTAATTAGAATTATATTCTTAGCCATAAAAGCTAAAATAATAGATTTTTATTTTTTTGTAAGTCAATAGCTCTATTGAGATGTGTAAAAACTGCCTCGCTAAAGCAAACCCAAGCCAGTCAGAGACATCCCATTGGCCATAACATGCCATGGCTTGAATTGCTTTCTGAAACACTGAAGGCCTTCCTTGTCCTGGCTCAGAATCAGTTGGTGGGTCCTTAATGCTTTTCCTCTGTCATGTTTCAAGATGCCCTATCAGCTGTACCTCTGTATTTCTTAGTTTTCTTATACCTATTGGCTTATTATAAGCCATTCAAAGCATCCTCAGAAGTAAGGAAGATATAGAATACCTTCATGACATGCTGGTAGGGAAAGATTTCTTAGGGCACACATTGTTATTCACAAAGAAAAAATCATAAATTATATACAACATTGAAATTAAAACTTATGCTCATCCAAAGACACCACTGAAGACATAGAGAAGCTGAAGAGAAAATATTTTCAAAACATATATCTGGACTTTTATCCAGAGTATGTAAAAAAATGCTTACAATTCAATAATAAGAATATAAACAATCTAATTTTAAAATGGGCAAAAGATATGGGGCAGGGGAGGGTGGTTGGGGAAAAGTGGAGACAACTGTGCTTGAATAGCAATAATTTTTTTTTAAATGGGCAAAAGATTTTAAGAGATACTTCACCAAAGATGTATATAAATGGCCAATAAAAAAATCAAAACTTACTACACATCATGGATCATTTTAGAAAACAATATGATAGATTCTTACTAAGTTAAATATATATCTTATGAGCCAGGAATTCCATTTCTAGTATTTATTCAACATATAGGAAAACATATGTCAGAACAAAGACTTTTAATGAATGCTCGAGGCAGCATTACTCATAATAGCCAAAAATGGAAACAATCCAAATGCCCATTGACAAGAGAAGAGACAATATGTGGTATATCCATATAATGAAATACTATCCAGCAATAAAAAGAATAAATTACAGAAACAAAAGAATGAATCTCAACAACAAAAAACATTATGTCACATGAAAGAAGCCTTGTACATAACAGTACATATTAATTGTAATAATTATGAACAGTGCCAGGTGGGCACTTGAAATATCTTGGGGAACACTTTGCAAAGCGTATGGTTGTCTAACTACCATGCTATAGACCTGATACCAATACAAAATAATATTGAATGTGAACTGTAATTTAAAAACAAAATTTTTTAAAAGAGTAGAAAAAGCTCCCTGAAACAGTACATATTACATGATTCCATTTACATAAATATCTAGAACAAGCAAAACTATAGTGAAAAAATATCAAAATAGTGGTTGTCAATGGAGGTAGTAGTTTCATGGATTGACTGGGAAGAGGCATCAGGGAACCTTTAGGAGTTATGGTAATGTTCTGTATCATGACAGGGATTTAAGTTACACAGATGCACACATGCTTCAAAATTCAGAGAGTGTATACTTAGAATTTGTGCATTTCCCCATATGTAAATTTTATAACTTTTAAAATTTATAGTTTAAAAAACACTATTCTCTCACACTGTTTGGAACAGGTGTTGGCAGACTATAGCCTGCCAAAGGCTGAGGTAAGGTCGTATGGTGGAAAGGGCCCAGACTTTAATATGTGGCCAGGCATAACTTTGAGTCTCAGCTCAGCCACTAGGCTATGAATCCTTGGGAAAGTTACTTAACTTCTCTGTTTCCTTAGCTGTACAAAGGAGACAGATGTAATAAAGGGCACAACATGTAATAAGTGCTCCATTAATGGTACCAAATAATAAACTGACATTTGAGATGACTTCAGGTCACTGGGCCAAAGGTGGCATCATTGCACACCTCCTGGATACTATTCCATCCAATGTGTTAGCCTACTGAGGGTTGTATATGAATATTCCCTGGGATATTTGTATTTTCTTAAGGTACCCTAAAGATTAAAACCTTACAATAATAACCCCTCGCCCTCCCAAGGAGTAAATGAATGAATAGTTGGAACAATGCTTGGCTGATTGTCTCTCAGTTCCCTGAGCTACACTCACCTCAGGACCTGTACCTTCTTCATAGGAGCGAATGCTGAAGACCATGCCTTCAAATGTGTGGTCCATCCGCAGGACAGCCAAAGCTAGGCTGGCCACTGTCAGATTTGCTGTCCTCCCAAAAAATTCCATCTTGTGACCAGCACGCTTGATTATCCTCAGAATTCTGCAAGGAACCACAGGTAGAGAAGAGCATGCCTACCTTTTTAATGTAAAAACTGATCTTATTTACAAGATTTCCTCAATGTGAAACTTTTGAGTTTTAATCACTATCTTTGTTTGTTTGTTTGTTTAGGAATTATTAGATAAGAGCACTTGCTTTGGAGTCAGACAGACTGAGGTCTAAATCTTGGCTCCTCTAATTTCTAACTATGTGGGCAAATAAAATAACCTCATTGAGCTTACATTTTTCTCACCTACAAAGTCAGAAGAAATACTCGCACTCTTCTCAAAAGATTGTTTAAAAGGTTAAATAAAACTATTGTATGTAAAGTCAGATCCTGCAGGGTCTGATGGACCAAGAAATTTGGACTTTATTCTACATGTAACAGAAAGACACTGAGTGGTTTTAAAAGCAAGAGAATGACATATGATATATACATTAAATGATCATTCTGGCTGGTATATAGAAAATAAACCATAGAGAGGCAAAAGCAGAAGAATGAGACCAGTTTGCAGGTTACTGTGGAAAGTCAGCTGACAGAAATGGAGCTAGGACTAGGGTGGTGGTATAAAGAAAGAAAGAAGTAAATGGAATCCAGGAATATTTAAGGGATTTAAAAATCATGTAATAGATTCCATGCAATTCGTATTAAAATAGCAATGACATATTTCACAGATTTAGAACAAATATTTCAAAAATTTATATGGAGGCATAAATGGCCCCATGTAGCCACAGCCATCTTGAGAAAGAAGAATAAAGTAGGAGGGATCACAATACCTGACATCAAACTATGTTACAAGGCCACTGTTATCAAATCAGTCTGGTACTGGCATATGAATAGACACATAGATCAATGGAACAGAATAGAGAGCCCAGAAATAAACCTCTGTCTCTAATGTCAATTAATATTTTTAAAAGCAGGCAGGAACATACAATGGAGTAAAAATAGCCTCTTAAACAAATGGTATTGGGAGATCTAGACAGCTACATGCAAAAAAATAAATAAATAAAACTTGACCACTAACTTACTCCATACACCAGAATAAACTCAAAATGGATAAAAGACTTAAACATAAGCCATGACACCATAAAAGTCCTAGAGGAAAACATAGGCAGTAAAACCTCAGATATCCCATGTAGCAATATTTTCACTGATACATTCTCTAGGGCAAGGGAAACCAAGGAAGGAATAAACAAATGGGACTACTTGAAATTTAGAATCTTCTTCATGGCTAAAGAAAACATCACGATGAAAAGGGAACCGACCATATGGGAAAACATTTGCCAATGATACCTCAGACAAGGGTTTGATCTCCAAAATATATAAAGTATTCGCACAACTCAATGCCAGGAAGACAGACAATCCAATTGAAAAATGGGCAAAGGACTTTTTTTCCATATAAAAGGATTCTCAGCATCACTAGCCATCAGAAAGATGCAAATTACAACTACAATGAGGTACCACCTCACATCATTCAGGATAGGCATCATTAACAAATCAACAAACAACAAGTGCTGTCAAGGATGCAGAGAAAAGGGAACCCCAATGCACCGTTGGTGGGAATGCAGACTGGTGCAGCCATTGTGGAAAACAATATGGAATTTCCTCAAAAGACTAAAAATGGAACTGCCTTTTGATCTAGCAATTTCAGTGCTGGGATTATGCCCCAAGAATCCCAAAACACCAATTCAAAAGAACCTATGCACCCCAATGTTCATAGCAACACAATTTATAATAGCCAAGTGCTGGAAGTAACCTAAGTGCTCATCAGTAAATGAGTGGATCAAAAAACTATGGTACATTTACACAATGGAATACTATGCAGCAGAAACAAAGAAGGAACCCCTACCCTTCGTGACAGCATGGATGGAACTGGAGAACATTATGCTAAGTGAAATAAGCCAGGGGGTGAAAGACAAATACCATATGATCTCACCTATAGGTGGAGCCTAATGAACAAAACAAATGAGCAAAATAGAACTAGAGGCATGGAAACAAGGAACAGACTGACAGGGACCAGAGGGGAGGGGGGAGGGATATAAGGGAGGCAAGGAGGGGAAGGGCCTAGTTAAAGAGTAAGTATAAATGACCCACTGATATGGACAATAGGGTAGGGAATAACTGTGGGAGCAGGGGCAGTGGGCAGGACAGCAGAGAGTAATGAGGGATTATTGGGACAACTGTAACAGAACAATAAAAAATTTAAAAATAAAAAAAAATCATGTACAGTGCCTCATACAAGACTTGATTATTGATTGGCTATAAGGTAGAAGAAGGTAACTAGCCTTACTCTCAAGTGTTTTTTTTTGTTTGTTTGTTTGTTTGAACACTTGGTGGATGTATTTTATAGAAATGGGGAACACTGGGGAAGAACCAGCACTGAGTCAATAGGTCAGAAGTTTGGTTTGGGGTAATTATTTATTTAGAAAGTCATTCTCTTTAAAGTTCAGTTAAAATTTGAACGCAACCTAAGTGCCCATCAGAAAATGAGGGGATCAAAAAATGGTGGTACATTTACACAATGAAATACTATGCCGCAGAAACAAAGAAGGAATTCCTAGCCTTTGCAACAGCATGGATGGAACTGGAGAGTATCATGCTAAGTGAAATAAGCTAGGCGGTGAAAGACAAATAACATATGATCTCACCTAAAAGTGGAACCTAATGAACAAAACAAACAAGTGAGCAAAATAGAACTAGAGGCATGGAAACAAGGAACAATCTGACAGGGACCAGAAGGTGGGGGGAGGGAATAATGGGGGGGAATGGGAAGGGTCATCAAGGAACATGTATAAAGAACACATGGACAAAGCCTAAGGGGGGTAGGATCGAGAATGGGAGGTGAGGGTGGGTGAGGCGTGGGGGCTTGGTGGGGGGAAAAGGAGACAACTGTAGTTGAACAACAAAAAAATTTGAGTGTATTCTTTTACAACTGAGCTTTCAATGCATAGCTACCTCACATTTAAAATTGGTAATTACTATATGCTAAGAAATTAGTAGCAAATATTCTAAATTTCATGAAATAATTTATTTCCAGAGTATCAGTACTTACTCATTGCTGACTTCATGCAGATCAGATACGGAATTGTTTTGCTTTCCCAAAACAACATCAATTATTTGTAATATAATCTGGGTTAGGTTCATACTTATATCATCACATTGTGAAATATCAGATAATTTAGAAACAATAATCTTTGTTTCTTCTTCATCAAGAGAGGGAGATTCGTTTATCAAATTTAAAATGTGCTTGGCAACATCATCTGCATTCTCTGGACAAACAAAATAGAAACATAAAACCTGCATTACTTAGTTTTGGGCCATGCTAATCTGCTTCCTTCCCTTTAAAAGGTAAAGGCAGTGAAATGGCACTACATACAACATAACAAAGTTTACAGAAGGAAAATGCTGGACCTTAATTTCTACAATAGACGGAGTCTCAGAAAGTAGCACATAAGTCAAGCTTTCATTATATCCTTTTTTAAATATAGCAGAGAAAACTTTTTGTCACTGAAGAATTATCTTACAATTAGATTCTAATTAAGTTAAAACTTTTGAGCATTGGATTGAGTTAAGTAGATCCCACCTGTACTCAAATATCAGTAAACAGTATATATTTTTATAATCAAAGGTGGTGATTGTTTTTTCTACCAAGAACTAGGAGCCCACAGGAAAAAAAAAAAGAAGTAAATATGGACCACATAACAATAAAAAGCAACTTAATTTAGATTTTTCTAGAGAGTAAGAACAATAGATAACTCGCCCACTTTTCTCTTCAGTTTTTGTCATGGAAATTTTCAAACATGCACAAAAGTAGAATAGTTTAATGAATCCTCATGTACCTCATGAATCACCTTACTTCAACAAGTATCATCGAAGAGCTAATCTGATTTTATCTACATTCCCACCTACCTTCTCCCCACCCCAGATTATTTTAAAGCAAATTCCAGATATTCTATCATTTCATCCATAAATTCTTCAGTATGCACCTCTAAAACAAAGGACCTTTGTCATCACGATACTAATATCATATCTTTTAAAGGTTACCAATAATACTCAAAATCATCAAATATCCACCCAGTGCTCAAATGTCCTTGTTTCATAAATGCTTTTTAAAAAGTTTTGTTTGAACCATCATCTACTTTTAAAGTTAAGAGCTTTGTTAAACAAATGCAACAGAAATTAGAGTTTGATTGAGTATAACCCGTATAAAGCTGAGCTCCCTTGTAGTACTCTCCTAGCTTAAAGCACTTATATTCCAGTCCAGTAACCAAAAATATAAAAGAAGGGAAAAGGGTCAAGTCAAGGAAAATGTATAAAGGACCCATGGACAAAGCCAAAGGGGGGAATGATTGAGGGTGGGAGGTGGGGGTGGGTAGGATAGGAGAAAGTGGTGGCGGGAAAATGGAGACAACTGTACTTGAACAATAAAAAAAATTTAAAGAAAATAATTGAAAAATGCAATCTGTTGAGAAAAATTCTGGAGAGATATTGTGCTTATAACCCACTTAACCCCGGTTACATTACAAATAATCAACTCTGCTTGGAAAAACAAAATAACAAAGCATAAGACATCATTCTCATTCTCTCTCTCCCCCCACCTCTCTCTCATTGTTAATGTAAATTAAGAAATCTGCCTAGGCTGCTGTCGCTCAGTGGATTGAGTGCTGGCCTGTAAACCAAAGAGTCACCAGTTTGATTCTCAGCCAGGGCACATGCCTGGGTTGTGGACCAGGTCCCCAGTGGAGGAGCACAAGAGGCAACCACATATTGATGTTTCTCTCCCTCTTTATCCCTCCCTTCCCCTCTCTCTAAAAATAAATAAATAAATAAAATATTTTTTTAAGAAATCTTAACTGAGATCCTCTCAATTTCACCCCCTCTGTGCCTTTAACCATCACTCCGCTCTGCTCAACAATGGCTTACACAGGAACTAAGTGGGCAGAGAGTTTTCTCCGAGATGAAAGAGGGGAGATTGAACAAGGTTGTACTAATTACTTCCAAAATTAATATTTTGTCACTTTTACATCTATCTTATGATCAGTTAAAGAAACTGAGAAAACCGTAAGACTATGGAAGGAAGAGAATTATAGCATGTTCACTCACACATCTTTCCACTGCTATTATTAAATTGTTCAGGTTTTGTTGTAAATGGTATAGCCAGAGCTGTCTACTTGTGGTCATTATTCTTTGGGCTGCAGTGGTGTGACTTCGCTTCATGCAGTTCCTGCTGTGGCAGAATGAAAAATAACAACAGACCACTAGGAGACCACCTATATTGTAGAAAGTAATTGTAGACTTTTCATCTAGAGTTACATGGTTTTTAAATAAAATTTCAGGAAAAATCACACTTGTAAAAATTCTAAGTCCTGAAGCAAAAGCAATAAAAGGAGCCCTCCCTTAATTATTGTCAGATAAATATATTCCCATTCTTAACATAGTTATAATTAATCTGACAGTAATTGCAACAATCAAAACAATAATATTATGTGTTATTTACTGAGCAATTCCTATGAGCCAGTATTGTAGTTCTTGACTGCTGCATAACAATCTACCCCAAAACTTGATGGCTTAACACAACAATTTATTATTATCCCTCATGGTTCTGTGTTTCTACTTGGGTCAGCTGAGCAATTTTCCCTTGGTGTCTCTCATGTAGCTGCAGTCAGATAGCAGCTGCAACTGAAGTCATCTGAAGTATAGACTGGGCTAGAGGTCCAAGATGACCTGCAAGTCCAAGATGGTCTGCTCACATGGCTGGCAGTTGATGGTACCATGGAATGGTCAGCTGGAGCTGTTGTCATTTGGGGGTCATATGGGTCAGTTGACACTGTTCCTGGCACATGATCTCTCCCAGTCGCTTAGGCTCAGTGATATAAGGGATCTGGCTTGTGCTATACTGGAACTACAGATCATTATGTTTTTTTTGGAAGAGCTGCTTGTTAAATATTTTCTAGCACACCACTCTGGGCTTCTTATGACATGGTGTCTGGGTTATCAGACAAAGAATTCCAAATGAGAGCATATCAAGAGAGAGAAATCAGAAAATTTAGTCCTTTAGAAAGTTAGTCCCATAATTGTCACAGTGTCACTACTGCCAAATTCTACTAGGCCAACCAGCCACAAGCCAACCCTAACTTAACTTCCATTTGACAAGGAGGGAATGAATTGATGATGGGCATTTTGCAGAGAAGATACCACAGCAAGATATTATGCATACATTTTCTTATTTAATCATCACAATAACCCTATGTGGTAAGTACTTTATTATTACTCACTTTCTACAGGTTAATAAATTAAGACACAGAATTTCTAACCCAGATTTTAACCCAGCCCTGTTTGATGCCAAAGCTAGTATTTATTCTTCAATATAACTTTTTCTACTACAGCATCTGTGCTTTTGTCCATTTCTCCATGGTGTTGAGGGTTGGAACAGTTCTGTTCTGCAGTTCTGCCTGACATAGCTGGGAATTACATTGTTATATCTCAGTTACACACTATCCTACCCTGGCAGTGGGATGGACACAGACAAGAAATGGTTTTGTGCAAAATTCCAGCCAAATTTATTAGAGTGTAATGCATATTCAATATCACATAAGTAACAAAAACTGAGCACATCAGAGAACCCACAGACCTTTTACATAAGGGTGCCTTTTCTAACTCTGTGATATTAAAAAAATTATCAGAAAAGAATATTTAAGTGCAAAAATGACGAGTTTTCTCCAACCAAGTTATCAAATGCTTGTCAGCAAAATTGAAAGCTAAAGAAAAAGTTGTTTCAATGTGAGTGTAGTTTTTCTTTTATATTGTACCTGTTTTTCATTAAGCTCCTAACTTACAAGGAGAAATGGATTCCCCCAAAGCTAATAAACTTAAAAGGTTATCTTTCAGTTATATATATACTTACAACCACCATCCAATTGTCTTATTCCTCTGCACTATTTTTTACAACATAAGTTCTGACAGTTAATTTTCTAAAAATCTCAACTCAATGCAATGCTTTTGTTGTTATGGTTGTTAAAATTTTCTTCCACAGAAAAAATTCTATTAGCATGTCTAAGAAAAATGTATCACTTTGAAGGAGGGAGGTCAGTGTGAAACCCAGACCTCTCTTGCCGCCCACTCCAAGTTGCAACACTCCCTATTGCCCTGACTCATGATTTCAGATCTAGAAACCATCAGAGCTGTGCTTGCTTTTCTAATTATTCTATATATTCCTTGAAAAGGATATCAAATTTACATCTTCTTTAAGGAAGACAAGCCTGAGAAGTTCACTGCTTCAAGGTAATTCCCTGGCTCTTCTGCAGTGCCTGGAATGCCTGTGCCTCAGCTTCCAAATTTTTGTTGTGAGATAGATCTTCTTTATGCAACAGAGTTATGCCTGACAAGGTGTGTATAAACTGAAACTCTATAAGCAAAAACCCTTATGCATACTTTAAAAACATGGATAAAGAGGGGCTGGACTTTCAGAATGGTGCTGTAAGGAGGGGCTTGTGGAAAAGGTCACCAAGACATCTATTACACTGCTCAAAATGATCAAAGACAATCATTCAAAGTATCTTGAGATTGATGGTAGATCTTACAACAAATTGAGCTGCATATATTCAATAAAATTTACAGAAATTTGATGAGCACAGTGGGAGGCCATAGCATTTGAGCTAGAATTGCACCCATCCCCCACAGCTCTGCCTTGTGGAAGAAATGTTCCAGTGGGCTAGGCAGCCAAGTAGCAGTCACCATCTATTCCAGGTCCCTAGGGTATTAAATAAGAACTATTCTGAGTGGATCTGACAGCCATTGAACATTGGCAGTTCCCATCTTTCTGAATGTGAACTGTAAACAATCCATACTGGGCCATGGCAGCAGCTGAGTGCCAGCAATAAGTCTCCCTTTCTCCCAAATACATATAGAGATCCTGCTCCATAGGGAAGAGTCTGGTGAAGCATCCAGTGAAGTGCATATTCACCGTCACCACCACCCAAGTTTTTGCCCCATAGGGCAGATATTTTTCCCAGAGGAGCAAAGGGTGAAGCCTCAAAGACTGGCAACACTCTGTCCCTGCCAAGGGGACAGACTTTAATTGGATCTGCCCATGGAACAATTTATGCCCCAGAGTTTTGTCAAAAGCAACAGCACAATTACTAGCAATTAGGACACTAACAGCAGAGTGTGATATCAATAGAGACAGACTAGTCAGGAGCTTAAGGGGAGATAAGAGAAAGAGATACTCAAAGAGAAACTAGCTAGAACTACAGCTATCCCTAGTGGTCAG